AAACAAATATAGACAACCTCTGTTTGAAATTATTGGCATGACATCAACCGAGTTGAGGTTTGCTGTTGTATTTGCATATATCGAGTTTGAGTAGATAGAGAATTTTTGTTGGGTGTTTGGTAAGCTTAAATAACTTTTTGTGAAGAAAGATTTGTGTCCACAAGTGATTTTGACGAATAGAGATCTTGCTTTGATAAAAGCAATTGCAATTATGTTTTCAAGGACGATTAACTTGCTATGTCGATTTCACATCAACAAAAGTGTTGGTGCAAAATGCAAGCAATATGTGGTGAACGACATGCAAAAGATGATCGACAAAATATGGATGGAAGTTGTATGGGCTAGTGATGAGGTTAAGTATGATCAACAGTTGCAACAACTTGAGCAGACATGTGTTGATTGTAGTTGATTTGTTGATTATGTAAAAGACACATGGTTGACTCCACATAGATAGAGATTTCTTGGAGCATGGATTAATTGAGTGGTACATTTGGATAACACCACGACTAATCGGTATGTGTTTTTTTAAAGTATTTTTTCTATGCATGTTTTTAAGTATTTTTTTTTAATAATTTTTTTTACTATGTATTATTTTAAGTATTTTTAATATGTAATATTTTTAAGGTTGAATTAGCACATTGGAAGTTAAAGCAGATGTTAGGGAACAATATAGGTGACATGGTCAAATGTTGAGAGGCTATGAATAAAAATTTGAAGTTACAACTGGGCAACATAAGAGCTTATTTTCAAAAAAATTTTTTATAAAGTTGAGCACATACACATAAGTCTATTTTATGGTTATATGCGTGGTTCATTGTCTCGAGCTGCTTTGAGACACATTACTGAAGAGTTATTGATAGTTGATTATGTTGGAACTAACAGAAAAATATATGGATGTACTCTTAGAACATCTTATGGGTTACCTCGTGCTTAGGAGTTAGGAAGATACACATTTGATGGTATACCAATACCAATAGATGTTGTTCATGTTAATTGGAAAAACTAAGTATGAAAGTTGAGTTGGAGGTCGATGTAGATGATAGATCAGAGGTGGATATGAGTAGTGCAATAAATGAATTATGAAAAAGGTTCAGGCCACTAGATGTTCTTGGGAAAAAGGCCTTAAAAAGTAGTGTTTGTGAACTTGCCTACCCCATAAAAACCAAAGGAGGAGTGGAGAAGAAAGGGAAAAAGCCAGTAGGATATGATGTTTATAGGGACCCTTCGTATCATGAGTATGTTGATCAAGTGTCTCAATCTTCACAGAGGCAATCTCAATCATCACAGACTTCGAAGAAGTTTAAATTATCAAAGAAGCAGCCACAATCTAAGAAGCAGTTCATTCTTCAATTTCCTAATCATATTAGGTATTATATTGAAGATGTAGTAAATGTTGTATTAGATGGTAATTATGGACTTAGAATGATTGAGTCATTGCATGGATATGCTGAAGATGGTTGGCTAATGGTTCGTCGAGACTTGGAGTTGGAAATAATAGACAAGGAAATATCAAGTTTGTATGACAATTTATTTGGTAGTCGGTTAGCAGAAGTGAGAGAATCTTCAATGATAGAATCCCTTGGTCCTCAACCACCATAGAAATGATTATCTATACCATATATGAGTTACTTGATAGCGAATTTCTATAATGTCGTACTTGTCTATTTAGGAAATCCGTGCATGAATTTCTTTCCTATGACAAGTTCACATTCACCAAATGTCTCCATTTATTGCATTGGTTTTGTAAACCAAAATCATTGGATTCAATTATTTAGTTTACTTAATTTAATATATGACTTACTTTACTTTTTTTTAAATATATGAGTTAATGTTTGAATTATTTTTCTAATAAGGTAAACATGAAATAGGGGTTTCCGTTGCCACTAGTCACATTAGATTAGAAGAAGTTTCGTAATCTAACAGCAACATCTTGGATGTTAGGAATTACAGGATGTCTACAACATTGGAAACTACTTACACATGTATTACCATCTTAGTATACTATGTCATTTCGTATTAAAATACGTACAAACATAAATCATCAAATTGGCGCCATATTCTATGATCCTCGAAAGGGCATCATATGACGTCGGTAGGTGCCAGCTCTCGTCCAAAATAGGTTGCAAGTCATCCACCTTCGGGACTCCTTGCTTATAGGGCCATCTCATCGCTCGAGGAAGACCACAATTATCAGCTGGTTTTCAATTCTTTCCTCTTTTTCCAAGTGTCGAACAATACTCGTGAATCCAATATTATTACAAAATTAATACTATTAATAAATTAAATAAACTAAATAAACTACATTAATAAACTAAATAAAATAAATTACTAAACTAAATAAACTAAATTAATAAACTAAATTAAAATAAATACTTGTAGAAGAGTAGGATATCCATCGAGCTGCTTGCAATTGAACATAAAAACATCTCTGAGATATCTGTAGATGGTAACCAAAGCAGCTGCTCTCCAACTGTATCCCGGACATCTCTCTAAGTCCATAAATAGTAAGAGATATTGTGTCTCGACAAGCGTAAAGGTCTTGTTGAAAAAAAATGTGGAACCCACCAACATCAACATATACACTCTAGTCGCATAGACCCATTTAGAAGCAACTCCATGATCTTTGAATAAATTGTATAGCCACTCCAACTTCTAGTAAGAACCCTGCAACTACGGATATGTTCTAGTGCCCCACTCTATGACACTCCTAAGTAATCAACAACAAGTTGAACAAAAACATCTTTAGTGAGATCTTGAGAGCTCTAGAACATTCCCCTGATGGGCAAGTGAAACAAACAATAGACGTCATCCAGAGTAATGCTCATCTCACCAAACAACATGTGAAATAAAGATGTTTATAGATGTCATCTCTCTACAAATACGGATATCAGGTTTCTGTCTATCTTTGTCAAAACTGGTTCTTTGAAGTGAATATATAGCAAACCTAGAAATTCACCTCTCCATCTGTTGTGAAAAAGATTGTGAAGTCCTAGATGTTAGCTTCAACCCATGTCCAGCAACCTTCAATTCTTTCATCAAACCTCTCTTATAAAAACAATTAAAAGTATGCATATTATAGAACAGAACATTAAAAAAAATCAAATATTATTCAATTTACAATAAATATCATTTACTTACCTCACCGAACCATAAATGTCTAACAACATGTTGCTCGTACTTTACCAAAAAAGACATATCATACGACCCTCTTGGGAAGTCATCATGCTGTGCTGCGGAAGCTGATGCACCAATATCATCTTTCTCACCAGCCAATGTCGATGGAACGCCCCGTCCTAAATCACGATCTGGAATCTTACCGTCCTTGTCTTGTGTTCGTGCCACTGTCAAAATAAAATAAAATAAAAACATTTAAAAAATTATTAAAATATGCAATCCGGAACACATTTTAAAAGAGTTTCGATTGACAAAATTTTTCAAAACCGAAACACATTTGGTAAGACTTCTGGTGAAAATTTTGGTCAAACTGAAAGACAACTCAAATGAGTTCCGGTGTGTAGACTGCAAATCGAAATACTTTTGTATTGAGTTCCGCAGAACTTGTGAAACTTGAACACTTATTGAATCTGTGCCGGTTTGAAAATTGTAAACTAGAAGACTTGGAAAATGTGTTTCAATTTGCAAGGCAATTGTTTTTGTTTCGAAAGACTTTGAGTGAGAGTAAGGTGAAAATGAAAAATCATGAAATATAGCTTATTTATATGAGAGCATTTTTATCTAAAAAATTATAATGTAAGGATATGGGGATATAATTGATGGAGTATGGAGTAAAATTCTTTTTTAACGCAAGGAGTTGAAACTAGCCCCCACCTCTTAATGGGCCTATACTTGACCCGAGCTCCTCAATTCATGATTTGAGTTCAAATACGTAGGTATCCATAAACTCTAATATGGATGAGGACTTCGGCCGCTGCCTCCACTCTCTCGTTCATTTCAGAAGGGGGTGTTGCTAATTAATACTCTTATCTTCAGGGTCGGCCTTAGGCGTAGACCATCGAGGCTACCATCTAGGGCCTCAAAATTTTACTTTTATATTTATTTGGTGTTAATAAATTGATTTTTAAAAAAAAATATTTTTTTAAAATTATTTAAATATATATATATATATATATATATATATATATATATATATATATATATATATATATATATATATATATATATATATATATATATATATATATATATATATATATATATATATATATATATATATATATATATATAAAACATATTTTAAAATATATAATAATAATAATTATCTATAATGTGTATTCTTTAATTTATTAATTTAAAAATCATATTTATGAATAATAAAATTTTGATTTCTTTAAAATAATAGGAGAAATTATATCTATTTTTATTTTTTTTAGAATTTAATATTGTTTTTCAATTATAATTTTTTAAATAATGAGAAGAGTGTTTAAATGAATTAATTTTACTATCAATTAAAAATAAAATTAATTGTAATAATTTAATACTTTTAAATCCTAAAAAAATCTAAAATATATTAATTTAAAAAATACATATTTTAATTATATTAAAAATATTTATTTCTAAATTCCGCCGGACAGCCCAGCTTATCATCAATCACTCATATTAGCAATTTATCCAAATTGAAGTAAAAATCTCCGAAGCAATAAATAAGATGTTCAACATAAATCCTAATGACACAATCATAATTTTAAAACACCATGTATTCTTATCATACTACATTGCTAGATAGACATACAAACAAACAGAGATAAATAGATATTAAAACACCCCGAATTCTTATCATAACACATTGCTAGATAGAAACAGAGATAAATAGATAAATTGATTACATTATTTATTAAAATCATGATCCGTAGTACCTTACTCACTATTACACAAACAACTCTTTATTTCCTCATTATCTCTAACAAAGACATTTGCAAAGATAAAAATGTTATTGGCTCTCTGCATGATACTTGTTGGAACTCTTTTTCTAATTGCTTAAACTATTTGGTTTCCCCACGCTTTGCTTCTTTGAGGAAGGATGCACTCTTAACTATTTCACGCAATGGCTTGTTAGTATACCTAACAAGGTTGTACACCCATGCTCCGGCCACAGCTCCCAAAACCGGCGACACCAAATATATCCATATTCCTCTATATTCATTGTGCATAAATGCAGGTCCTAAACTTCTAACTGGGTTCATTGATGCTCCAGTTATAGGTCTGTCAAATAAATAAAAAAGTTATCACCCAGTTTCAAAAACCATTTGATATTACTATATCTTGCATAGAATAATGGACGCATACCCTGAAATAATGACATTAAGCAATAATGTAGATCCAATCGCAATTCCAGCCAACTCACCGATCTATAAAATATAAAACATGAAAGTGTAAAAGAATGTTTATACACACATGGATGAATTATTGATATGCATAAGATATTTTCGTGACTTTACCGCTCGGCTATCAGTGGCAACTCCGCAAACGATAAACATAAGATAAAATGTGATTATGAATTCAAACACAAAAGTTTGAAGGTAAGATCCAGATGGAATTGTTCCTGGAAACTGATCATGTGTGCCACTGAATATTAGTTTTAGGGTTCCACTTGCTAGGGTTGCTCCCAAAACCTGAGCTGATATATAAGCTGGTGCCTGTAAGAAATATATAGAAAATGTCCAAATATCATTCATGTGTTATTTATGGGAAAAAGTGTATAGAGTAAAATGGTTGTGTTTAGACTTTAGTTGACCTGCAACAATGGAAAACTTCTTGTGGAAGCAAAAGCAATGGTGACGGCCGGATTGAAATGAGCACCAGAGATGTGGCCGAGAGAGTAAATCAACACAACCAAAGCGAGCCCCCAAACAATTGCGATTCCAGGAAGCGTGACAGCGTTGTCGTGGTTCTTGTTCACTATAATTGAAGCACATCCTGCAAATATCAAGAAATACGTTCCTACAACCTCTGCTATTAACTGTATATCATAATCACCAACAAACATATATAGCCATAAGTTAGTATCAAATTCTTAAATTTATTCAGAAGAGAAAAAAAAAAGATTAGGAGACACCTTTTGCAAAAAAGGGACAGAGGAATTTTCTGATGTTTGGGGGGACTCTTTGTTTACTACATCTAAAACAATATTATCACTGGTTTCAAGTGTTGGTGAATTATCATTAGCCATAATAAGGAAATGAATGAGAAACAAACAACACAAAACACTGTTTATGTTTTTTCCTCTTCCACATAAATGACTCCATTTTATACACAGACAGTTGGGCACCAAAAGTTCATGAAGGGACAAAATAGTTTTAAATTCTATTAAGCAATATAAAAGAGACAAGATGTATTTAGATGCTAAAGAGCTAAGCTAAAAATATATTAAAATATTTTAAAATGTCTAATATAATAACTTTATTTAATTTTTGGCATTAACTTAGTATTTTAAATAGCAAATAGAATAATCTTTGGAGTTAGATAAGATTATGACTCTACTTGGCAAGATATACTTTCAAGAGCTTAATTATACATTCATATGACAAAAATAAACTTGTTTTATAATAATTATTTCTAAATAACTTATAGCAATTTTTGGTAGTTTGTATTATATAACTTATTATTTTTTATTTTAAACAAAAATATTTCAATGTGATTTTGTATTTATCAAATAATTTAATTGCATATTTTAATAAGATCATATATTTCACCGTTATAAAGTAGTTTATCGACTATTCATTATAACTTTATCTATTATCAACTAATTTTTGGTAGTTTGGATAACCCGGGAGGATTCTAAAAAACTGAGGCAAAAGATTCTCTAAGATTACATTAATTCGAAGAAGATTTTTATTAAATTTGAAATGAGACGAAGAGTCATTGAAATTACAGTAATTCTAGGAGGATATTTGTTGAGTTCGAAATGAGATGAAGAGTTTTTAAGTTTTTTTTGTAATCCGAGGAGAAATTCCTCAAACATCAAAATAAGAAGAAAAGTGTTCGGTCCATGGATAACCTAAGCAAAATTTTGTATAGACCGAAATGTAACATCCCAATCTAATTGATCAATTGAAGTTTCAATTATTTTTTAAATTATTGGAATTGGATTGATAAACGGTAAAATTGACTTTTACAATATAAGGATAATTGCATTATTTCATAAGGAACAATGTATCATTCAAGTTACCTTATCAATTAATTAGAATTTAACCATTTTCTCCTTTATTTAAATAAAGATTGAAGTAAAAGGGTATCGGTAAAATTTCACTGATTTAAGTGAAGAGTAAAATGATCATTTTTTCATGAAGGTAATTTTAGTCATTTTATAAAGGTTAAATGGCATTTTGAGTAAATTTAAGATTATTGAAAGATTATAGAAGAATAATTAAGTCTTTAAAACATAATTATCACTACTACGAAAAACCCTTATCGCAACGGTTGAAAAAGGGATACCACCGGGCTGTATCAACCGTTGTGAGGTAAAATATGGTTGTACGTATGATGCTTTCCACCACGGTCGTGCAACCGTAATTATAATTCAAGTAGCGTGCTACCTACCACAATTGTTACTTTAAACAACCCTTGTTGTATTTCTAGCCTATCACAACGGTTACTTTAAACAACCATTGTTCTATGTCACTGATCTGACAAATACAAAATGGTCTATAGTACTTTTTCCAACAAAGTAACGGATGATAACATTGGAGATCAAGGTGATGTTGATGTTGAGAAGGAATCTTATATTATATATGATCAAGATGAGAATATTAGAGCGGATGAATCATATATTAGAAATGATCATAACGAGGGAATTTGGATCAATCCATCTGTCCGTGTTGTTAAGAGACAAGTAAATCACGTTCCAACAAAGAAAAGAAAGAGATGTTAGTGAAAAAGGTACTAGTAAAATTATATATTATGTCATTCAATAAAATTATATATTTGTCATTCAATAAAATTATATATGTTTTTCTTATTTATGTTTTTCTTTTCATATATATATTTGTCATTCATTTCATAAGTTTGTTTTTCTGAATTACAGGTATTACGGCTAGCCATAAGGAAAAATCACATGATACTTCTAAAAATGATGGAAATGAACCAGTACATGATGTGGAATGAGATATTACAAGATGAATAACGATTGTGAAGGGAATCATTCATGCGAGAGATAAATGTATAAAATATGATGTGCATTAGAATGAAACATACCAATTAATTGAGTCTAACGGTGCGATGTTGACAAGTTACATTGGGACACTTGTTCGTTAGCAAATTTCAATCACTTGTGATAATTAGAGAATTACATCGTTGAAACCCACTAAAGAAAAAATATGGAGTGAGATATAGGTATCATATCTGATATTATTTATTTTTGTTGACGGTTATGTCTTTAAATTACTTATACTAACATACTATATGTATGTTAATTTGTTTGCAGAGGTCTTTTAATATTGGTGACGATCGGAAAAAATACTGTATTCAATTGGCCGAAAAAAGACTCAGAGGATTTCGAGCATTTTTAATGAACAACTTTCTTAAGGATTCTGATGGAAAATTTGTTGAATCAGAGCGTCCAAAGAAGTATGCAGATTTAATTTTACTTGAAGAATGAGAAACTTTTGTTGTCAAGCGAAGAACCCAAGAATTTCATGTAATTCTAACTTATCATGAACAATGTATAATATATATACTTCTTCCACATGAGTTCTGATATGACTTAAACTTGTTTTTTCATGCTGTGAGTGACATAAATCGGCAACGAGCATCAAAACCCGCGTATCCATACAAAAAGAGCGTTTGGAATATGCATGCTTACAACAGAAAATAGTAAGTATATATAAATACTTTAATATGATATAGTTAGAATACGAGAAAAATGAAGCTTATTATTTGTCTTAATGTGTAGTTAGAAGAGGAGAAAAGTGATGCAACATCTCTTCAGGACCATGTTTTATGGAAGACTGCTCGTGTGGGTAGAGATGGAGTTGTTCAGGAAGATGTTCAACAAGTTTTTGAGCAATGTGTAAGTATAACATTAGTTCTGTCATAAACTCAAAAGTTTAGTAACATATAATATATTTATGTTTTTTAATCCCCACTAATCTTTTTCTATATTTCAGGAGAGTTTATCCCAGTCTATAACTGTAGTTGAAGATCATGATTGCAGGAGTATACTAAGTCGAGTATTAAACGTTCCTGAATATTCTGGTTGTGTGAGGGGTAAGGGATTTGGTGTCACTCCAATAATATTGTATAAGCATCCTAAGAATAAAAAAACCTAGTAATAAACAAGTGATGGAGTCGTTGGAAGAATTGAAAGCTCAAATTCATGAATTGCAAAAGGACAAAGAGAGATACATGCCAGAAAGACGCGGTCCAGAGTTTAAAGATACTAGTGACAAAGATAGTATCAATTGTAATTTTCAGTAGAAACTTCCCGAGGTAACTATATATATTACATTGAAATTAATTTAGTACAATTTTCTTAATTGACATATATACACATTAATCATATTCATTATTGGTTTAGGGCATTTCACTTTGTCAGCTCTATTTATCGTCACCGACTTATCCCATGGTTGGCAAGGGAAACATGCATAACACTTTGGGAGACTTACTTCATCATAAACCGCTCCCTGCTGGATTTTTGAAAGTATCAATTGATATTATTTTAGAGGGGGATGCATTATTGCCTATACCAGACGATGTTTTAGATGCAACATTGGTGGGAGACACAATAGGATCGTATGTTGCACGGTCGTCAAATCTCATTTTCATAGATGATGAGGCACGTTGAACACCATTATGAATCTTTTAGTATTCAAATGTTTTACGACCCATACATGTAAGTTATTCTTACATTTACGTATCATTTATTTACATGATAATCTTAGACTCCTACGAAATCCAAATCAAAAGATAAGGAGATTGTGCGAGAAACCGAGTCAGCTGCATCAAAAACAGGTACATTAATTGATATATATATATATATATATATATATATATATATATATATATATATATATATATATATATATATATATATATATATATATATGCATATAAAATATAAATTATATCCTCTGATTTCAATAGCTTTATGATCTTATACATTAATTACCTAACTTATATAACTTTTAGATTCATGCTCAAGAGTTGCAACAAGTTAGCAAGGGTAAGATGCCTGAATCTAGCAAGGTGTCCAACAAAAAAAAGACCGAGCCTAAAATAGCATTTGTTCCTTGACTTAGGTTGTGTCTTGAAACATATGTAGAAACAACGGATGTGGTGGAGGGTGGCATTCGTCAAATACATATGGAGGAAGGTATTTTCTGTTTTGCTTATGCCGAAACAATTGCTAAAGAGGATTTGGATCAGATTTTCCAACATTCTGAATTAGGCATCAGTGTTATGCATTCATACATCAGGTACTCCGATCAATTTTTATTAAATAAGTGAACAATTTATTTGCTCATTTCAATGAATATTCTATTGTTGATTATGTTTTTATTTAAGGTTCTTGTATGACAAGTTGTTGGTCCCACATCAATTAACATAAAGATTCTCATTCTTATCTTCTAGCTGTATCAACGCACGGTTAATCAATCACACTCTAGATGTAGTCAGAGGTTACTTAGTCCAAACATTTATGGCCACAGATACAGAAAAGTTGTATTTTTGCCCATATAATACTGGTCATGGGTTAGATTTCATTCTAATTTCATTTATTATAATTATTTATTTTTTGACATTCTATATAACATTTCCATCTAAAATTTGGTCTTATTTTACAGTGGACACTGGTTGTTGGTTGCGATAAATCTGATAAAAGTAATAGTGTATTATCTGGATTCATTGGATGGTGATCAAACAAAATATCCAGATATGATGAAGATGATTGATACGTAAGTGATGAGATTGTTCAGAATAATTCGTGTACATCTTTATTTATCATGTAAGATTGTTCTAAATATTTATTTATATTATGTTAGAGCTATACAAATATTCTGATCACAAAGACAAGCAAGAGTACCAAAGAGTAAGGCTAACAACATTAGATGGATCATAGTGCAGGTATATTTTCACAATTTTGATTGTTATAGTGATACTACTTGATAAAACTAGTTAAACTATATATCCTGATATATATTCATTTTTTTTCATGTGCAGTGTCCTCGTCAACGC